TTTGTTTTTTTCGCATCATTTACAAGGGCGTCGCAATTGTAGCTCCACTTTTATGACTTTAGTCGAGGTTTGAATAGAAAATTGCATTAAAGTACTTGAACAGCTTCATGAATCGCGCAAATTCATGATCGTTATCATCATCATTATAACGACTGTTGATGTTGAATGAATGCGTGAATGATTTGCCATATAAACTTAGTCCGCAGTACATTCATTTCTCTACTTTTCCTCTTTGTAGGTTGATGTGTGTGTGTGTGTTTTTTTTTTCTCTCACATTTTTTCTTACATACTTATACTCTGCATATTTTATTGCTGTTATTGTTGTTGTCGTAGTCGGTCCACTGGCTTGATTCCGCGGAAATGAACACATGAAGGCCTACAAATGCCAAACATAGAAACGCAATTACGCCCACTTCCGCGCCCTAACGAGAGACCAACTCATGGGTCTGGGTTCGCACAGTTACCGGAAGGAGTGGCCCATGCCCATGCCCATGCCAAAAAAGAGCTTTGAAGTTCGATCGTTGGTTGGTTTTTATTGCCGCAGTTGTTGTTGTTGTTGTTGCTGTTATTATTACTGTTCCTGCTGCTGTTCGTTAATAAATACTTAGCGCAGCTCGGCTTCATGGGCACTGATTTGATGTGTGGATACATATATCGATATGTATAGTATGTACATTAGTGTGTGTGTGTAAATAGTTATGTTGAAGGAAAATATAAGAAAAAATAAATGAAATGTCATTTTTGTGGGGGGATATGTGTGCGTAAACGTTACAAATATAATAAATGCCGTCAAGCAGAATGTGGCAGCTCAATAAACAATCTATATATATGTGATAGCGTGGGCCACCAGCACTATGAAATGTTTACTTACGCACATGCTTAGAGCATTTTCCAAGCATCGAGACTAAGCCACCGTTCACTTATTTTCTATTACTTGCAATGATTTGCCAACAACGCCGACAATCAAAACAGCTTAAAGCGCTGCCAGCGACAGCATAAAATTAGACAAACACAAGCCACACATACGCACACAAACACACACTCACATACAGTGGAAATGGGTAGAGAGTGAATTTATTTTACTTTTAAGTTATGCGGCCTCAATCCCATGTCAGATTCCGCATAAATTCGGTGCAATAGAAATGCAAAAGGGGAATATTTGCTTTGATTTAAAAAGAGCCATCACCCACAAGCGATTACTTGCAAATTGATTTGTAGTGCTTAGGCTCGCTTATAGTTGCTTAGTTGGGAAAGACTTGAATACTAAGTTTTGCTTCTTAATTAAATCTTTGTATTACATTTTTGCGCCGAACTGATGAACTCATAATAGTAAAAAAAAAAGTTGCAGTCTCAATCCACAAATATAATATGAAATAGTAATACAATTTAGAATAATACTTATAATATGAAAATAGCTCAAAGATAACAACAACAATGCAATTAAGGTTGAGGATCTAAAGATAATACGATGAGTCAGAGAATATATAAGAGAATCAAATAATTTGACAAGCAATCAAAATAAGTAGAACTATCCAAAGCAAAAATTCAGCCCCATTCGTAGGAGAAGCTATTTGGGGATAAATAGTTCTTCCAAAATTAAACAAAGGACAATGTTAAATGAATTGTTTATAAAATAATTCACCTTTTTCATCACATGAATGTGTTTCTTTAATTATATTGAAAAGTAAACTAGTTAGCTAGCATGTTTTTGATGGATTCATGCAAAAGTATAATTGTTAATATTTTGTTACAATTGTAGCGCGGCAGAAAAAATCGAATACTCGATAATATTTAACGACGCTGTACTGTCCTTATGTGTACGCACACACATGCGCATTGCTGTTTCATATATCGCTATAACAACGCTTATGCTGCTTAAATATAATAATGATAAAAATTCGTAGGATGAAAGCGATTGAGGCGTGCCCTTAAGCGCTTGCTGTGTTTCCACTTGGCTCGGTAAATGTTGATGAGCTGCTCAATGACACGCGCAGCAATGGCAACGACACAGCCGACAACAGCAACAGCAACAACACGAAGAAGGAAAATAACTGGCAACCGACAACATGGCGTATGTGTAATATGCTTTGCTGTTTTTCTTACGCGCCTGGCCTTATTACGATTATTTCCGTGTAGGTATACTTTATAAATAGTCTGAAGCGTTTAGCACTGTCAACTGCCAGACGTAGTGCAATAATTTTGCGAGTACTGCTGCTGTCGTCGTTTCATATTTTATTTTATTATACTCTGTACATGAAATGTACAAGAGTATATTAGGTTTGCGGGAGCTGAAAAATGTAACAGGCAGAAGGAGGCGTGGCAGACCCCACAAAGTATATATATTATTGATCAGCGTGACAAGACGAGTCGATCTAGCCCTGTCTGTCTGTCTGTCCGTCTGTCCGTCCGTATGAACACCTGGATCTCAGAGACTATAAGAGATAGAGACACCAAATTTTGCACGAAGATGCGTTATGTGTATATTCTATACGAGTTTGTTTTATTTTTTTGATTTTCCCCCCCACTTCCCCCCTATGGGGGTTTTCCCGATTTTCCATTCGTATAATCGCCTATATCTCGGAGACTATAAAACCTAGGCACACCAAATTGTAGTCCAAGATGCCTTGTGTGAATACGCAGAAAATGTATATTTTGGAATTTCCCTCCCTCCCCCCTCTCCCCCGCAAATGCGATTTTCTCTAACTCCCGTAATTCTTGGAATTTCGAACTAAAATTTTGGAAATACCCCCAGTTAGTTATTATGTGTCCGTATGCCAAGTTTCATTATGATAGACCGATTTACCAAGAAGTTATAGCTATAAATATATTTGCTGCTGCAGCGCTGCTGCAGCGCTGCTCAAGCGCTGCCCGCGGCTGTTGTTGATGTTGCTGTTTGGTTGACTGCGAAAATGCTTACACAGACACGAATTGATGCGCATAGGCATACATACACTCACACAGACGCAATTGCTATGTAAATGTGCAATTATACACCCTTTACGTGAGTTCGAATACCGAGAGAGGTAAAATCGATCAAATTTTTTTTTTATTTTCTTATTTTTTTTTATTTTCTATAATTATTGTAAACATATGTACAGAGTATTTCAAAGTCGGGACACCCGACTTTAGCTTTTTTACTTGTTTTTTGTTTTATTTCGCGTCGCGTAATGAAAAGTAAAGCCAACACAAAAATGTTGCGGCACTCGCACAATGAACTGCTAAGCATTGTCGAGTGCCTGCCGCGACGCGTCATTTGTCACGACGTCCTGCGTAGACATATCAAACGCACATGTGATTATCTGACATTTTTTATAACAGTCGTTTCCTTTTTCTCTCGTTTTTGTTGCTTTCCGGCCCGTTCCTATTTGCAGTCTGTTCTTGCCAACGCACAAATTTGATGCGTATGAGCGATATTTCTACATTCACCACATGTGTGTGTGTGTGCGTGTGTTGACTGGGCAACGTATGTGTGTGTTCGTGTGTGTGTGTGTGGGTTAATGCAGCTTCTGGCAATTTGTTGTGTTGATAGCAGATAAGCATTTGATGAGGCTTTATATTAAAGCAAGCGACTTGCTACTACCTCTTCCCCCACCACCCATTCCCAATGGTTGGCAGTTTTCTTCGCTCTAAGCTGCTTAGCATAAGCAATTTTGAGTTGTACAATTAAAGTGAAAGCGGATTTTGGTAGGGCATAAAGAATTTTTCAATTTTTTGTTAATTAATTCATGGATTAAAGCAAAGTTTTGCATACAAACAAGCCCATACAGTCTTTAATATGCAAATACGTATTAAAATGTAATCAGTGGCGACACACTTTTTTGTTTGTTTGTTTTTTTGTTATTAAAATAGTAACAAAATTGTTTTTATGAAAAACATATATATAATTGCGTTTTACGGCCAAGGTAGGTGCCGGACGCGTGAAAACAGTTTTGCGTAAATAATCCTTAAAAAAATGTATATAATTTGAAAGAAAAGTAAAGCGCTGGCTTGTAATCGAAAATAATATTACAGTATGAAATAATAACTAAAATAATAATTATTGAAATACATGAAGTGGAAAATATGCAAAATTTTCATTTGAAATGTTCATCCTTTAGCCACCAATGGCTAAAAGAATTCATTAATTCATTTTTATTCTACTAATATAAATAAATAAATTTGCTTTTGGCTGAAAGTCCTAATCTAATATACTGAAACTTTATTAACATTTAAACAAAAGGAGGCAATAGTCCTTGATATTTGACAGCTACCCTTGTTAGCTTTGCTCTCAAATAAATATGACTATACATATGACTAACATATAGCTGAATATATGTTTGAAAATTATGTCACACATTCGTGAATAAAATTTATTTGATTTTAATACGAGCAGTTAACGAGCAGGCAGAGAAAAGCTCGTTATTTTAATTGAAAGCTTGTAAAGCATGACAAGAGGGAATATAATAAATGTTGAAATTGTTTTTAATAAATGAAAGTGCATTTATGTTTTTCTTACTTAGCCAGAACAAATAAAATTAAACAAAATATTTTTTGAAGAAAAATGTATATATTTTTTGGATCTATTTCGATAGTAGTTGCCTAAAAACTGATAACAAATTTATGCAAATTGAAGAGCTTAAAGGTTTGTCTTTATAATTCAAAGGGATTAATGCACATGATGTCTATTTGGTCCACTTTGCCATTTTATAGAAACTCCAAAGCTTACAATCATAGCATAAATTTAATTTACCAATAATGCTTAAAAGGCAATAATCTAATAATAAAGGGCTTGTATTATTTTAAATTGAAAATAATGAAAAATCTTTGAGAACAAACTCTCTGTAAATATTTAATAATAAATTCATATTTATATATTTTTGTTTGCTTAACAACCTTTGAATATCAGTGATTAAAACAAAGAAGTTTGTAGCTCTCACTAACGAGTTGTGTGTTGTGAACATTTTGTCAAAAACAATTAAATAATGCTATACTTATGTTTGACATATACTTCAAATACATACCCTGCAGACAATTTCAATTTGTATTTGTCACAATTCACCGTTTACAGCCTGTAAAGAAGATGGATGAATGTTGTGTGTAAGGGAAGCGGCAGATTCAAAAAATTAATGCTAAATTATTTCGACAATTTAATTGAAAATTCCATTTGAAATGTAAATGCAAACGGGCGTCAAGCCAAACGGAATTCAATTAAAGTCGAAACAAATCCAAAGTAGCACACGCACAAACGAAGATGAGGAGGAAAGGCACTCAGATTCGTAAAAATCTAAAGCAAACACATATGTTCAGAGTAGAGAAGTCAAGCTTGAAACGTAAAAATAATGTAGGTAATGTAATAAGGCCGTATTAATATTTTAAAATATAAATTGCCACAAGCGCACATGAGATATTTTAACCACAAGCAATTTAAATATTAAATGAAGATGAGAAATATAATGGCAAATGTGCACACATGCCTGAGAGCTCAAATATACACACACACACTCATTTAACAGGAAAAACTGGGAGGCAGACATGGGCATGGGCCTGGGCCTGGTTCTGTTTCTGTGCCATATACAAATACAAATATGGCATGTAGATTTTCATATGAAAATTCAAAGTAACACAACTGCATGGACCGTGTGCCCGCTTCCTTTTTCTCTTCCCCCTTCTTCCGACTTCCTCCTTACACTTTAACAGGCTGTGCAGCCACAGATAGAGGCTGTTTGTAGCATATTGAAGGTAAAGGCAGGAGCAGATATACCATTGGTCCTTCTGCCTGCCTTTCAGCCGGAATTTTAGCCTGGCATTCGGTGGGTTGATTGTGTTGGCGCAGCACACTGAATCGAGCTGGTCGGTTCGCCAGAATCCTGCTCCTGTCTGCGCACGTCAAGCCAAATAAATTTAATAACGCATTCAGCATAAAAACGCACGCACACGCACACTCATTCGCATATAAAGTTATGCATACGCTTCGTAGCGCAGGGAAGCAAATAAACAAACAAATAGCGCTCGAGCATACATATAGTACATACATACGTATATACAAGTAGTATGTGTATTCATACATATGAATATGTACATTTGCCCGAGCATCTATGTATGCCAACAACCGTCGCCAAGTTGTGGCTCACGTTGTAGGGGTTCGCTTTTTGGCTGCCCTCCATTGTTTTGCAGCGGCAAATTAAAACAAGAATAACACCATCTATAGTATAACCCAAAATATTGTATACACTTCCAAATACGTGTGAAATAATCATTATTCTAATATTATTACTATAGTGTCTTTTGTATATGATCGAGTTTACTTCAGTAATGCTTAGAAGGCAGCTAGTTAAACTAGCTAGCTATCAGTAAATTTGATAATACATTTCAACTGTCTGATTGCAATACACGCCTGCGAGAGGACACAGCTTTGATAAAATGTTTGTATTATTTTTAATACTCTTTTTTATTCATTACTCTGCGTATTCATGCGCTGCAAATAATAGTTCTAGTTGTCTTAGATGAAGAGTGAAAACTATGGCACATAAATATCCACAATAATTACTAATATTTTTCGTTCGTAAAGTTCTAGCTAAATTGTCTCGGATAAACAGAATACAATGCATGTATAGTATAACATTTTAGGTATATTGCCGTTCATATATTTCCCAAAAAAGTGCATGGAAACAGTTCGTGAAGGGTATAGAAAGTACAATTCGATGCCAACAGTCGATGTTGTAGAGCTGCAAATCAACGCGGCGTATGCGTAATATTTGTGTATGAGTTTTTTTCTTTGCATACTTTTGTGGGCCGAGAATGGCGTTTTACACTTTTAAGCACTCTGGTAAATTGCTCATAAATATTTCGAGGCGTTGTCTTACTCATGGGGCAAGCCAAGAAAATGTCGAACGACCTTTGTGGCTTCAATTTTTACAGTCGTTTTGTGCCATTTTTGATTGCCATTTTTACGAGTTGCTCACATGTGTTGGTCGCCATAAAATTTGCGACTGATAGGCTCGCACAAACACACATAAGTACATATATATATATATATATATATATACAAGTATATATACAAGTATATAGATACGTATACAAAGCAATATATTTACAGATATACGTATGTACTTGTATTTACACTTCATTTGGCTTGCGACGATGCGTAAATTATGCGCTGCATGCACAAGTAATGACATCAAAGGCACAGTCAAAATTATCAAGCCTGCCATTAACATTTGATAAATGCGTACACGCAATGGTTATCGATTCGATTTCCCTTGATTCCCATCAATTTATGTGCGAGACTTTAAGCCACTTAGCAAACGCTTCACCGGCAGCGCCCAGACAAATGCTTTTGAGGAGCAGCTGCTGGAGCGAATTTGCAAACTATCTGAAAATATTTGCACAGTCACGGAGATGTTATCGGAACCAGCTGGAATAGCAAGGTCTCCTCCTTCTACCCTATCTTCTCTCCCCATTACTATCATTTTCAACCAACCACGAGGCAATGCTTTTAATAAGAAATCATAGCCAAAAAGTTGTACGTTTCATTTTGTCACAGCAATTGGAGCAGCACTGTGACCCATAAAATTGGAATTGTCAGCAAACTGAAAATGGCGCTCTCAATTTGTATATCTGCCAATATATATGTGTATAACTGGAAGTGAGTGATATTAATGTGTGTATGTGTGCTACTTAAAGCAAACTCGTTCAAAATGTAATGAAGCAGTCGTAGTTGTTAGCGGTGGTGCGGGCTTTAAACTTGTCTGCCACTCTAACGAACTGACGCCATCATCAATCAACATTTAAGCCCAGCTACTGCCCCTGCTGCTAACTATTTTAAGTCTATCAAATCAATTAAAATTGTCACAAAAAAAAGTAATGCCAAGATGAATGCATCGAAAGTGTATTATATATTACACATATGTATGCATGTATATATGTACATACACGAATATATGCTGCGAAAGCTAACTAGCTAAAAGTTAAGCTATTCAGCATCGAATGAAAACCAAAACCGACAAACCAAAACTTCTGACGACCGCAGAAAGCACTTTGCGAGAGGGAAACCGACAGGCAGGCAGGCAGGCAGGCAAGCATCCAGGACCTACACTCTCGCAATCATTCACATACATGTATGTACTCGTATATGAATAGCGACAGCTACACTCATGGTTTCGTGGCGTGCCAGATCATTAATTTTAGTCGAGTGTCAAAAGACATACACGCATTGTGTTACATCAAATGCAGGCAAGCAGGCAGGCAGCCAAGTAGGCTGGAGGGCAGAAGCGGACAAGCTACTTTTTGAGTACAGTAAATACTGGTTGGGTAAGCACAACAAATCTTTGTGGTGAGTTGCGTTTTTATGTCCGTTTTGGGATTTAAAGCAGCATCCAGTCTGGAATCATGCTGTTCTCAACAGTTAGTAGCTAGACAAGCCAATCTTTTGAAACTAATAAATCATCACCTTTTTTATTTGGTGCTCTTAAATTTGAATAGAAATGGAACTTGCTTTCTGTTGGCAAAATTTCCATAAAGTTTGTTAAAACTTTGTAAAAAGGACTGCAAACAAAACTTGATATATTGAAAAATTGGTAAAAAATATCACAATCGTTTTGTAAAAATGAAGCATTTTTTGTAGTTGAGAAAAGAAAAGTTATGTTGTCAAACCAATCTCTTACTATATTTAATCAACAAAAAATAGTTTATTTTTAATGAGTTGTAATATTAGTGATTAAAATTGATTAACTTCAGTGTTGCAAAACTTTTGTTAATCATACCAATTCCAATTTTGAATACATAGTTGGTTTATTTAACAAAAGAGTTATTTAAATCTATTTCTTCTGTATTGACATTTCAATATTTAGATATTATTTTGTTATTTCTTTACTTCTATTTCGGTAATATGGGTTCAATGTGCTTAAGATATTTCTCCTGTAGAAAATACATGTGTTATGTGTGTGAGTCAATCGTCCGATGCTGCGTCTGCTGCATTGCTATGTCATCAATTATATAGTCAAAGTCAATTTAATGCAATTGCCGCTTGTGCTTAGCTCTGCTTGTCTCTCACCCACTCTCACATTAGTCGATCGGTTTACCAATTAAAGCGTCTTTATTACACTTAGATGGCAAAAAATTGGTGATAAAACCAAGGAATCTGTATTGAAATATGTATGCTGGCAGTCGAGTCCGCCCGGTCGTTCGCTCGCAGTTACCAACAAATCAAATCATTGTCATAGTTGTTCGTGCCTTGCTTACTTATGCATGCGCATATGTCATCATGAATATGCGAGCGAGAATGCGAGCGGACGGGCGGACGGGCAGACAGGCAGACGAGCGAAAGAGTGCTGCGAGTTGCGCGCCAATCAACTGCAGCAGAAAATAACAATAACAACAACAACACTTGCAACAACAATCAGGCAGACAGGCAAAGTATCTTGTTGTACCCAAAGCTGCATCGGTACAATTGTGTTTGGGCAATTGTCTGTGCAATTTTTGTTTTGTTTTAGCAAACAAGCCAAACAATTGTGGGAAAGGTTTCACAAAAGTCATGTGTTGTTGTTGTTATGGTTGCAATTGCCTGTGGCCTGGGAAATTGTAGCAAACGGCCGAAAAACAAACTGCTTTTTGTTTCACGCTTTCCCAGCTGCCTCACAAGTTTATTAGTGCGCTCTACCTCAAATGAATGAACAACTGAATGAATGACAGTGTGCGAGTTAATGATGAGGCATCCTTTCACTTTTCTACATTTATGTTACTATGTGTGTGTGTGTGTGTAGTGTGTGGCCGCAATGAGTGTTGCAACAAAGCGGCTATAGCTCTATAGCAGCAACTTATCTGCTGTTTAACATCGACGGCAGCACAAAAGTCAAAAGGCACCAGCGCCATAATCAATAATTAAGGACAGCTTGTTGATCAAGATAGTGTGGCGGACACCTAAGCAAGGAAGTAGGAATATGCATTTACACTCAGAGAAAATATCTATACAATGGCCAAGAATATGTATGAAAGACTTGTTTAATGGCACGATATTAATTATATATTATATCTAAGAAGCTGATTTAAAAATAAGACCTTAGGCTATAGA